TTTTACTTCTTTTATTTATCATACTTACAGCCAATCATTCACATCAGTAAAAAGTTTATTGATTTAGTGTTATTGGTTTTACCCCATACACTAATATTCTTGACAACAGAGCTTCTCAAACTAAACTGACGCCAAACGTCAACAAACGTCTTAGAAACTTTCTGATGGATTGATTAGATCTGCTGTATTTCTTTTTATCTAAACATATAGTCATAACCATTATTTGTATACATAGATTCTAGATACTTTATATTGTATATTTATTATGTAACTTCATTATGAAGCCAACGGTAACCTCACGCGGCTCAAATTATTTCGAGAGAATTCAAAATATTTTGACACCACACACCTTACTTCATTTTAATTGTATAATTTAAATGTATAAATATAAAAATATAAATATATTTAATAACTACACCTATCTATTTATTTAGTTTTGTGTGCATACAATATTTGGTAGAATTTATTTCATAGGAATCGAATACAATGTTTATACCGGCTAATTCGCTATTGTACATTTCATTATTTTTTACTATTCAAATGGCATCATTTCCGCCGAACGATTTCGCACCAAAGTGTCAATCCTATAATAATAATTCTTTTGCCATTGTTTAGAGGGATTATCATTTCAGTAAGTTTCAAACAAAATTTTGTTACGCTGATAATTTAAAAAGTTGCATCCGGTTGGGACGTACACACACATTCAACGTTTGAATTGCTGGAAATATATGTACGGTACAAGTAGGATGTCGCCAGCAGTCTTTCTTATAAACGTAATTTGTTGATACTTCCATCCATCAGCGTTAATAAGCTTTTTATTTAAATTTTTTGCTCTACGAACTAACATTTTTTATTTAATTCCATATTAAAAATAAATTTCATGAATGAATAGATGAATGAATGAATGAATGGGTGGATGGATGGATAGATTGATGGAAGAATAAATAAACAAATATATGAATAGTCAAACAACTGAATGAATGAATAAATGGATGAATGAGTGAACGATTGAACAAACAAATGAATGAATTAATGAATTATGAGCTACCAGAGATCAAAGAACTAGTAGCAGAAGAATGTTTACAATTCCGTATGACTATCTTTCCATATTCATGATTTTTTATTTATTTTGAAACTGTTTACAACTGTTTCTAAAAGTAGTAGTAGTTGTTGTTTTCTGCCTGTCTGTGTGTTTGTATGTTTGTCTCTGTGTATGTTTGTGTTGCAACTTGTCATGCAAAGGTTTGAATTATCATCCGTGGTGAGTTATGTGAGGTAGCAACTGCTTCCTTATTTCCTGTTATGTTATCTGTCTTTCTGTTTGTCTGTCGGTCTGTCTCTTTTTCTGTCTGTATGTTTGTCTGTCTCTATGTTTATAACACATAAGTACAAACATACAAACCACATAAAAACATACAAACCCCTTACAAACATACAAACCACATACAAACATACAAACCACATACAAACTACAGACAAACATAGAAACCACATAGAAACAAACAAATCACAGACAAACACACAAACCACATACAAACAACATACAAACATACAAACAACATGCAAACATACAAACAACATACAAACCAACAAACATTTAAACATCGTTAAAATGTTTTAAAGTTCATAGAGGTCTCCAGTTCGGATGATTAGTAAATTTCTCTGATCTTTCTTCGCTACTCTGTGTGTGTGTGTGTGTGTACATTTTGTACATTTAGTATACAAACACACATAGAGAATAAGAAGGGTGGTAGGTTAAAAATTGAAAGAGGAACTAATGATATGGATGTTTAAATAAATGATGTTCATGATGTTATCGTTGTGTATGTTTGTTTTGGCTGGCCGGTTGCTGTTGTTGTAGTTGATGTTGTTGTTGTTGTTGATGTTGTTGTTGATGTTGTTGTTGTTGATGATGTTGTTGTTGTTGTTGTTGATTCCCTCAAACAATCACTATCATCATTATTTTTTATCACATCAAGCTTCATATTTCTGTTTGCTGTGTAAATAGTTAAGTATTAATCTATGCACACACACACACACACACACACACACACACACACACACACACACATATACATATAAATACAAATACAAACATGCATACATACACACACACACACACATTTTACCTCTAACTTCCGGGAAAGAACATACATTTTATTAAACAAACATACATTACGTAAAAATTTTTAAAACTGCTTATATAATTAATCACACGTTTTGTAACCCACATAACCAGAAACATTGTGTGTCTATTATTATTATTATTATTATTATTATTATTATTATTATTATTATCATCATCATCATCATCATCATCATTCTTGGTGATATATGTTTATCAATTCTAGTTTAATTAAATTCTTTTCAATCATTGGTTTCCTCTTATTACATTTTATCTGTCTGTCTGTATGTGCCAATCTGGCGATGACGTTGTTGTTGTTGATGTTGTTGTAAATGTTGTTGTTGTTTTAGATGTTGTTGATGTTTTTAATGACGTTGCTGATAAAAACGTTAAGAAATGACATCAAATCACGTCACATTCATTGCAGGTAATGATAGAAACTGGGCATTAAAAAACATAAACAACAACAACAACTTCAGCATTAACAACAACGACAACAAAAACATGCCAGTAGATCGTCAACAGCACTACCAGACCATACTACAACAACTTAATTTTTTCTACTGCAACGAACAACAACAACAGCAACAATTATTATTATTACATCAACCAAAACATCAGCAACTGCAATTACATCAACAATATTTACAACAACAACAACATCAACATCACATGTATCATCAACATCGTCAACAACAACAGCAACATCAAACTTACTGGCAGCAAATCATTCTCAACCATCATTTCACAAAATTTAATTTACAAAAAGGAAATAACTTATTTCAAAAAACAGTTAACAACCTTCATAACAACAACAACAACAGCAACAACAACAACATCAATAATGACACCATTACAACATCAACACCATTGTCGTCCTCACCAGAAATGCTGGTTATGAAACCCAACAGAAAGATAAAATTTCAGAAAAATTTAGCATCAGCAGCAACAACAGCAACAACATTGAAATCTAATTACATCAATTTCTTCCCCCACCCAGGTCTTTCAAGTAAGTTGCCATCGTCATCATCATCATCATCACATTATGACGTCATCATCGTCGTCATCATCACGTGATTCACACCATCATCATCATCATGACAACCACCAAATGATTGACAGATGATTTGAAAGAGGAAGCCATCTTGAATTTCGTGACGTCACAGCGAGAGTCCAACCTCCAGAATTCAGTTTCCAAAAAACTACAACAACAAAATCATCGTGAAGATCTGCATCACCACCACCACCAACAACAACAACAACAGCAACAACAACAACATCATCATCACCACCAGTTCCAACGACAACAGTCAAACATCCAGGTACTCTGGGAATGCTGTCATGGTAAGCCTTACATCAACAAAGGTGGGTCTATTATAAATATGCGTGTTTGATTATAAAATATTAAATACAATTATAATAATAACAATAATAACAAAAAATACACATACATACAAACAAACATACAAACAAACAAACATGCATACATACATACACACATACATACATACACACTAACTTACGTCAAAACAAAACATTTGAAATAAGCTTTCGAATGTTGTTACATGATATTCGATCAACTAATATACTATTATTATTATTATTATTATTATTATTATTATTATTATTATTATTATAAATATTATTTTAATATTTTTAGTAGAAGTATTTGCATTGGTAGTAATAGTAGTAGTAACTTTTGTAAAGTTAAATAAAATTGATGAACAAGCAATCTGTTGTTGAAGAAATTGAAACATTTGATTCGTTTTTTGAAGAGAAAATGATGTTTAACTTTTTTTTATAAACATACATACATGCCCACACACACAAAAATACAAACACACACACACACATATACACACATACACACATCATAACAACGCATACACACATATTTTGGGTAACTACCCATCACTAACACGTGGTTCCTGATAGTGTTAAGTTACATACATATAAGTATCAGCAAAATATATTTTCAAACATACAAACAAACAAACAAATACAAACGTAATATTTACAAATGCACATACAAGATGTCTGAAATGTATACATGCCAAAAAAGAAATATATCTATACATGCACAAGTTTTTGTTTAATGAGGTTTGTGTGTTTCTATGTATGTGTGTTTGTTTCTCTGAGTGTGTTTGTTTGTGTGTGTTTTTGTATACGTGTTATTGTGAATACAACAATTATTAAAGTTAAAACAATGGCAATGAAAATATCATTGACGTCACGTTATGGTCCAATCATTTCAGCTCGGAACATTTTTCTAACGGAAGAATCAAACTCATCATCATCAGCAGCAGAAGCAGCAGCAGCAACCACAACAGCATCATTATCATCATCAACAACAACTACATCATCATCATCATCGTCGTCGTCTTCGTCGTCGTACTACGGAGACATCATACCAGTCGCGCAATCGTTTTTCACTTGCAAACGAATGCAAGATGATCAGCAGCAACAACAACAACATCAACAACAACAACATCAACAACAACAACAACAACAACAACATCAACGAAATCATCACCATAATCTTTTTTACCAGCCCGCCAATGAGGATGCAGCTTTAAATTTTTCCGATGTTCCCAGAGATGTGACTTCATTCAATTCGGCGGCGTACTCTTTGAGGCCGTCAATCCCCTCTCTAAACTTCCTAGATCATTATTTCAAAAATCACAATAATAACAATAACAACAACAACAATAATACTAATAATAATTTGAATCCGACGAAGGAACATTTGGGCAGGCCAGCAGCGGCATCATCTTCATCGACGTTTGGTTCGAGAATGTTGGCTACAGTTAAGGCATCAGCAGCAGCAACAACAACATCATCATTAGCATCAACAACAACATCAACAACCACAACAACAACAGCAACGACAAAACAACAACGTGATGGTTGCACGACCTACCTGTGGCAGTTCCTCCTCCAGCTGCTACACAACCCCAACTACTCGCCGCGTTACATCAGATGGACCGATCAGGGCCGTGGGGTGTTCAAACTGGTGGACTCCAAAGTGGTCTCCAGACTGTGGGGCATGCACAAAAACAAACCCGACATGAACTACGAAACCATGGGCAGAGCGCTGAGGTTCCATTTCATTTCTTATCCACTCCTGCAACTTCTCTAGTGATCTTTTAATTTGACTTTTTTCACTTTCATTTAATTTTCTCAGTTTCAAACATCAGCAGTATTAACAAACAACATCACCAACCACAACACCATCAACAACATTAACAACAGTATTATCAACAACAACAACAATATCAACAACTACAACAACAACATCAACAACAACAACAAAAACAACAACAACAACAGGTATTACTACGCCCGAGGCATTCTGAACAAAGTTGACGGCCAGCGATTGGTCTACCAGTTCGCCAGTCTCACACCGGAAATGCTTAAAAGTGCATCTAGAAACGCGAGTCACATGCGACTTCCGTTTCATAGATCATCATCATCACCGACCTCTACCTCATCATCGTCATCATCACCCGTAACATCATCATCATCGTCGTCGTCATCATCATCATCATGTTTCGGCGGAACGTTTATATGTGGAAATGATTACATAATCGACATAAGATGATGATGACGATGATGATGATGATGACGATGATGATGATGATGATGATGATGGTGGTGGTGATGATGATGATGGTGGTGATGATGATGGTGGTGATGATGATGGTGATAGTGATGTTGAATTTAAAGTCTGATTTGCCTTCCTATGGTAAAAATTTATTTATTGAATTTTAAAATAAAATTGTAAATTATTTTGCGTTGTTTTTTCTAATATTGTGTGTTTATAATCTTTTGTGTCTTACAACAACAACAACAACAACAACAACAACAACAACAACAACAACAACAACAACAACAACATTATCATCAACAACAACAACATTATCATCAACAACAACAACAACAATGATGATAACGACAATTTCATTAAGACATTTTCATGTTAATATATTTTAAAGCCTTCAATTAACTATTTCATTTTCTTCCTCTTTCTTTTTTTACTATTTATTTATTTAAAATATTTGTGAATACAGGCTTTCAGGTCATTGCAAGTGCTTTAAATTTTATGTTAGTTTTTCCTTGCAATTCATATGTTTATGAAAATGTTATGGATGAATGAATGGATGGATGGATGAATGAATGAACGAATGAACGAATGAACGAATGAACGAATGAATGAATGAACGAATGAATGAATGAATGATGGAATGAATGAATGAAGGAATGAATGAAGGAATGGATGGATGGATCCATCTAATAGGAACAAAAACAAACGAGCGTCACTTCAATCAGTTATAACAAGTGGAGCATATTTTTTTCATCATAAATTATTTTTATTATTGTTGTTGTTTATTATTATTATTTATTATTATTATTTGCAGTTATCATTTGATGTTTATTTTTTAGCGTTCTTTTAAAACCCTTTGTTTTAAATGGGCAAACAATGTAAGATATGTTACATGTTCGTGTGTGTGTATGTTTGTGTTGGTTTGTGTATGTGTGTGTGTGTTTGTTTGTGTGTGTGTATGTAAGTTTTTGTGGGTGTTTTTTAAACAATGATTACAATATTTTATCATCTGACTGACTGATGAATCCGAATGGTAAATTAATTTTTTTCGAGAAGCTTGTTACAAATCATTATTATCAATTTGTTTCTGATCAATAAAATATTTGGAAAAAACTACTTTCTTCTGTTTAAACATACAAATTTTCCATCACAACAAACATCATCATCATCATCAACATCGCATACATCATCATCATCAACATCGCATACATCATCATCATCACCACATACATCATCATCATCACCACATACATCATCATCATCACCACATACATCATCATCATCACCACATACATCATCATCATCACCACATACATCATCATCATCACCACATACATCATCATCATCACCACATACATCATCATCATCACCACATACATCATCATCATCATCGTTTCCATGCCTTTGTTCGTGCATTTACAATTGTTTAATGTCTAATTGGCAGTAATTAAAAAGCTTTTTGATAAATTTTTTAACAATATCATCACCATCATCATCATCACCATCGTCATCATCACCAAGAGCAGCAGAAGCAGTATAATCATCATCATCATATTCATCATCATCATCATCCTCATCATTATCATGGTTATTGAGCGAAAGTGAAATTAAAAATGGATTTAAATTGAAATTAAACGATCGTAAAATGACCATTTGAAGTGAATTTCTTAAAAACGAAACATAAACAAAGATATTTTTAGTGTTGACGTTTATAACACAGTAAATAAATAATTATGCAGCGCTTTATTTTCGTAACCATAACTTGTTGAGATGAAATTACATTATAAGTGGACGATTTCGTTGATGTTTATGATTGCACGTCATCGTTCCACACGTACGTACACACGCACACACACACACACACGCACACACCTCACGTACGTAGGCACACAGACAAACAAACATATGCGCACCAACAATACACGTACACAAACGCACATACGCAGATGTAAAATCACATACCAGTCAAAGGGTGGGCAAACTACGACCCACGGGCCGCATGTGGCCCTCAAAGCTATTTTATTCGGCTCGCGAGGCCTTGTCCGCCAAAAAAATGGGTCGTCAGCTAGACATTATGACCAAAAAATGGTACCACAAATCTTAAAAAATTTTCCTCCGGGTCGAAAAACGAAAAAATTTACTATTTAAGTACATGTGCGGCCCTTCAAAGGTTAAATAGTTCTCAATTCGGCCCTCACAACTAAAAGTTTGCCCACCCCCGTTCTATACATTTAAACGTTCATTCATTCGTTCATTTATTGGTTGGTTTGCTTGTTCGTTCGATTTTTTATTCGTTCGTTCATTCGACCGTTGGTTCGTTCGTAAATTCATACATCAATTTGTGATTTGTTTTATAATTCTCACCGTCAAATTTTAACAACCTACCTGTCAACACTGACACTATCAAAAACATGTCTTGATCATTTCACGGATCTCTCTCTTTTTCTTTCCTTGTTCCTCTCTCTCCCTCTTTTTTTCTGTTCTCTCTCTCTCTCTCTCTCTCTCTCTCTCTCTCTCTCTCGGTCTAAATGAAAGAATGAACAAATAAATATCGAACGGATAAACAAAGAAAGTGATTTTATTTAAATATTTTCCTCTTCATTTTTAAGGATTTTTACGAATACATGTACGTGCGTGCGTGTGTTCCAATGCATGTTATGTTGAACACATGCCTTATATGGTTATTTACAACGCTCGCCAACCGCGATGAACCGCTCAAATTAACGACAATGCAATAAAAATTACAGGATAATAAAATTTTAACATCTTGTGTGTCTTATAATATGTGAATGTGTGTGTGTATTCATGTATATGCGTATGCGTGTATGCCTTTATGTATGTGTATTATTTATGTGTGTGTGCATGTGTGTATGTGTGGTGTGTGTGTGTGTGTGTGTGTGTAAGCGAGCATTCATTTCAAACATACACACATGCACTGCATACATACTTCCTTGCATACGTACCGCCGACCAATCAATATTTAGTGCCAGACCTTCTGCTCAGTACGATACCGAGTAAGATGACGACGAAGATGACGTGACGGTGATGATGATGATGACGATGGATCCTACGGAATGATTGCTTATCTTCCTATCCTAGCTCCCTATTTATGTCAGGATATGTTTTCTGTAAATAAAAACTCTTTGTGCCGATGATTTATATCTTTCAAACGTCTTTAGTTTATATGCAATGTTTATAAGCAGGTTGAAAGCCACATAATTTTATACATACACACACAACACACACACACACAAACACACACACACACGCACACACCCAGATGAGGATGGATAGGGAGGAGAATCATATGGGAGAGTTAAAAAACCTTGAGATAATTCTTTTCTCCCTCTTTTCTTACTTATTTAAATTAAAAATTATAAACAGATATAGAGAAATTATTTCGAACAAAAATCAAATTATTAATAAATGAAGAGAGAAATTGTTTTAAACAACATGAATTCAAATCTTTCTTGCTGGCTCGTACAACAAACGTACACACACATACATGTATGCATGCATGTCAATATCATGCTGCTGATGTTGCTCTGTTTGTACGCAAGCCTTGCCTGCCGGTCCCGCACTGAAATGGCATTCATTAAATTTCTTTCCAGATTGAAGCAATAGTTATTTCGTCTTTATTCAACTGATAAAGAAACTATTATTTGAAAATTCAATAAAGTTGTTAAATAAATAAATGGGGCATGATTTAATGACGCTAAACTAAATGGATATGAAATTAAATTTCAATTCAAAGACACGCCAGACGAACGGAGTAGCTGATATCATTGAACGATTTATCTGATGCGAAAAATGGAAAGCCTCGGCTACGTCAACCGGCCAATCAATCAATCAAATGATTGTTTCGTCAAAATAAGGAATTTTTTAACCGAGTTTTCTGACGTTTTCAGTCAATTTAATGAAGGACTTCCAACAAATTATCGGCATGATAGATGTGAAAGGTTAAAAATTTAATTAATTATTAATTAATTAATTAGCTTATTAACGTATTATTAATCACAAAATCCCCTGCGTTTCTCAAACTCAAGTCAAGCATTTCTAAATAAAATTTATTCAAATTTCATAGTTAGGCAATAATGTTTCATCATTCGTACTCCCATTTAACCTGCATTTCTCTCATTTCCTCAAAATAAAGTGATATACAATTTTGAATGATTATGATAGGAAAGTAAAAGAAACCCATGATAATTTCGCAGCTTTCCCCAAAACATAATTGTCCTCTAAAATTATTGAAATTTTTATTTTTTTGCTTTGATCAACGCAGAATTAACTGTTCTGTAAATTATTTTCAAGTGAATACTGATATATACGACATCATGTTTGATTGAGACTGCTGCATCTTTCTTTTAATATTACTGATTCTTGTCTATCTTGGTTTTCTTCTTATTTCTGTAATCGTTTTTCTTCTGTTGTTCTCAATAATTCTACTTCTAACTCCTCTACTCTTACTTTCGGGGTACCTCAGGGTTCTATCCTTGGCCCTCTTCTATTTATACTCTATACTTCTGAACTACCTCGTATTATTAATAACTTTTCTTTCTCTAGTCAACTATATGCTGATGATTCTTATATTTATACTTCTTTTCCTCCATCTAATCTCAATAATGTTCTTCATAATTTA